GATTTGTAGCTCCGCTTCCGTAACACCGATATTCCCCAGGGGGCCCAGATCATGGCTTTGGGGTTCAGGGTGCTGGCCAACACAGCGAAATGGGTCACGAGGCTCAATGTGGACGTGGTGCTGGCAACCCATTTTCGGAAGGTGCACACCCACTTCCTCCTCATCCTGTTCCTCCTCCTCCTCCTCCTCCTCCTCCTCCTCCTCCTCCTCCTCCTCCTCCCCGCTTCTTCCCTCCTTCCCTCCTTCCCTCCGCCCCTCCCTCCCTCCATTTCCTCTCTCCATGTATCCCTATATGTTTCCTCCTCCGTCTCCTCGTCCTCGTCATTGTTTTCTTCCTCCTCCTCCTCCTCCTCCTCCTCCTCCTCCCCTTTCTCCGTCGCTGTCCTCCCCCGTCTTCCGTTTCTTCTTCCGCATCCTCCTCCTCCTCCTCCTCCTCCTCCTCCTCCTCTTCCTCCTCGTCCTCTCCGTCCTCTCCCTCCCCTTCTTCCTCTTTTCTCATCCTTCCCCTCCGCCAACCTCCTCCTCATCTCAAATCCTGCCGAGGTTCATTGGAGACCGAATAGGCTGAGGATTACGGAACGTTTCGAACCACGCGGACAGACGGTAGATTGGATCGCTTACATTCGGCGGCCCCCGCGCCAGCTTTCACCGCCCCCGCCGCCTCGTCCCGATAGCGGGCTTACGGACGCAGAGCTCGAGGCCATGATTGGCTAGAGAAAAAACGAAAACGTGAGCCTTATTATTCCACTGCCTGCGGCCTCCCACACCGACGACGAGAAGACGTATTCACAAGCCTGCGGCCCCCCGCCCCCTTATTCACAGGCCTGCGGCCGCAGCCGCGCCTCCCGCAAGCCCCCGCCCCCTTATTCACAGGCCTGCGGCCGCATCCGCGCCTCCCGCAGGGAAACGCGCTAACGCGAGGGGTGTGCCGAACGGGCGCGGCGCTTTCTTCTCAACAGCCTGGGACCGTCACAACACGCGACGAACCAAACGCCAACGTGAAGGGTGTGCCAATGGGGCGCGCGATTCTTTAAGGAAAAACACAACGCCAGGAGCGTGCCGACTGAACGCGGTTTGTCTATACACATGCCTGCGGTCCTCTCCGCGCGCGGCAAGGGGCGCGAACGCGTGAGGGGGGTGCCGATCGGGTCTATACGCGAGATCTCCCGCATATACGTAAAACGGCAACTTACTTTGCGTACATATTGGGGCATGTGAACAATCTACAATCAAGTGCTAAAACAAATGAATGCAAACGGTGACGCAACATAATGTTATTGATCGGACGTTCGTCGGTTGTATAATTATTGATCGGATTTTTGCAATGACGGGTCAACAAACAAGCCCGATCGATTTTGCCTGCATTTGAGACCTCTGGGTTCATGGTCGCACGTTCCCCAAACCCGAGCTGTACGAGCCAGCGCTCGACGTTGACCTCCTCGGTGCCACCACCCTCCGTGACTACACTGACCCTCACCTGGATGTTCGACCTCGGGTAGCCTCTCAACCCAAGATTGTCCGGGTCATCCGTCACAACCGCACCCACTGGATGTGCAGTAGATCCCACCTTCTGCAGTACCTCTGGAAGCGCGTCCTTAGGCACTATTGCTACACATGCCTTAGAACTCATCTGCTGCCAGTGTACAACAGGTTGTACCCAGTCCTCCTGGTAAAGAGCAGTCTGCATGCGCAATTTCGCCGCCTCTGGCAAGGCAGCTCGCACCTGCTCTTCGAACGTCATCTCCCTCAGCGGCTCTTCAAAAGCATAGCCTCCCTTCCCCTTGCCCTTCTTCCCTCCTTTTCCACCCCCTCCATTACCGTGCAACGCATGCATAAGCTTGTTCCACGCTTTGTGTGATATGTGCCACGCGTATTCGCACTCCGTCTCACCAGTCATGCTGTATATGTACATGGCAATAGTTGCAAATTCGATAGCTAAGCCTGTGACTGTAATGTATTGCGTCCCAAAGACATTCGTAGTGGCCGTCCAACGGCCTGGGAGGTACCGCCACGCCTTCACAGATGCAGTCGCCCACGGCATACCTCCCAGCATCTGCTTCTGCGGCGCCGTGGAGCCTGCGGGGTCCCAGAAGCCCACTGGCGCCTGTACGCCCAACTCGCTCGCGAAGGCGCGCAGCGGGGATCCAGTGTACAGCGCCGCATCGCCCGCGGCGTCGGCGGCCACGGCGGCGGCGGCCGCAGCGTCGGCCGCGACACTGGCAGCAGCGGGAGCGGCAGCGCCAGCGACCGCAGCGGCCACGGCGGCGGCCGCCGCACCCGCGGCGGCAGCGGCCGCCGCGGCCGGCCCCAGGGCGGCGGCGCGCGCCACAGCGCCGGCGGCCGCGGCGGCTTCGCCGCGGCCGGCCGCCGCTACAGCCGCGGCGGCCGCAGCGGCAGTGGCGGCCGTGGCGGCGGCGCCGCCGGCCACGCAGAGGCCAGGAGCCATGCCGGGCCGCGGCGGCGGTGCGGCAGACGGCGGCCGCGGCGGCCTCGCCGCGGCCGGCCGCCGCAACAGCCGTGGCGGCCGCCGCGGCGGCGGCGCCGCGGCGGCGGCGCCGCGGCCCGCCGCCGCGAGGCAGCCAGGCGGCGGCAGGCCGGCCGGGCCGGCCGCGGCGGCGGCGCGGCAGGCGGCGGCGTGCCGTTGCCGCCGCCGCCGCGCCGAGCGCGACGCCATGGCAGAGCGAGCGGGGGCGAGCCCCTCGCGCGCCCCCGCGGGCGGGGAGGCCGAGGACCGAGGGGCGGGCTCCCGGCCACGGCCGGCCAGCCACTGAGGCCAGTTCGAGCCAGAGCGGCCTTGAGCCAAAGGGCTACGGTCGCTGGTGGGGCTACGCGAAGCGACTCGAATTCTGTGTTCGGGGAGTTTCGGTGATCGGAGGCAAGAAGCCGTCTGCGGATTCTATCCTTCGCCGCCGCGAACCTAAGAAAAACCTTAAAAACCGTGTGAGAAAATCGACCGTAGCCCCGGTCCCCGATCCGCCACACCGCGTCGCGCCCGCCCCTTCCCCCTCCATCCACGGCACGTCCACGTCGCGACGACTTCGGCGCCAGCTTCTGACACCGAGTGGATCGCTCAACCCTGGGCGATCGCGTCGCGGCCTGTCGACGCCGCAGACGCCTCGATCTCAGCCTATACGTCAAGGCCACGAAACGGAGACATGTTTTTCTTCCTGGGGGATAACACATGGTACCCGGGGGGGGGGCCAGAGGAGGGGGCAAACGGTAACGGAAGCCGCGGCGCGCACCCCGCGAGGCGCACCGCCTTCGTCGTCGTCGTCGTCGCCGTCGTCGTCGTCGTCGTCGGCGTCGTCGTCGTCGGCGTCGGCGTCGTCGTCGTCTTCGTCGTCGTCGTCGTCGGCGTCGTCGTCGTCTTCGCCGTCGTCGTCGTCCAAGCCATCAGCGCCTTTGCGCACAACACGGGCCCTGTACACCACAATGCCTGCGCGCACCAGAACAGTTTCAAACATAAACTTCGTGTGCACCACGGCGATTGTATACACCATAATAGCCGTGTGCACCACAGCGCCTGTGTACATCAAACAATTTGTGCACACCACGGCACCTGTGTCACCACAGCTGCTGTTTCAGCACCCCCTGTGCACCACACCAATGCCGCTTACACCAAACAGCTTGTGTACACTGAAGGCACCGACGGAGCCAAACTCCGGATTATCTTCAGGGGCCCGAACATCTCAAATTCAATATGTGAAGGGTTTGTGATTATTTGTTTTTCTGGGCGAAGAAACGCTCGGATATTTTGGGCCCACAACGCCTGTGTACGCATAAGTGGCCGCGCACATTATGGCAACTGCGCACACCACGGCGCCGGTGAACACCACGCGGCTTGAGGCCGCGCGGAGCGGCGTAAGCCGAGGAAACACACGCTGGAGAAGCCAGAGAAAAAGCAGCACCAGCAGAAGGAACAGGAGGAGGAACCCCACGATGGGGTCGACAACTCGGGGCCCGCGCTGTTTTCCAAGAGCACTGCCAAGATGCACGCCATTCTCTAACAGCATGTACACCTCTATGGCCCCGACGGGGACAAAGTCCGGGAAATGGTTGGGGGTCCGAATGTCTCACATTCAATATGTGACCTGATTGTGATTACTGGCTTTTCTGGCCCGAGGAACGCTCGGACATTCTGAGCCCACAGCGAATGTGAAACACATCGCCTGTGTGAACCACAGCCTGTGTGACATTCTGAACCCAAAGCCTGTGTGCACCACTGTGCTTGTGTACACCACAATGCCTGCGTCCTGTATGCGCAAGGAGGACGACGACGAGGACGAAAATGAGGAGGGAGGAGGAGGAAGAAGTAGGAAGAAATGCGTGGGTACATGATGCCCACAAAAAACACGTTTACATCATAGCGACTTTGCTCACTACAGCGATTGTGTACATCATGGCGCCTGTGTACACCACAGGGCTCGTGATGTGTACAGCACAATGCTTGCGTACACCCGCTATGCCTGTGTACACCACAGCTGCTGCTGCAACGACATTTGTGCGCGCCACATCGCCGGTGTACACCGCAATGCCTGCGTACACCATAGCGCACGCCCGCGTACACCGCGGCACCAGTAGCGCCCGCGTGCACTACGGGTGCTGGGTTGCCCGGGATCGCGCGCTGGACCGCGCCGGGGCGGTCCCATTACGGGGGGAGGTTTGGCAGGGGAGGTAAGATGTGTTATCCCTTGGGTGGATATTTTTATGGTTTTTTACAAAACCAAACAAACAAACAACAACAAAAAAAAGACTGTCTCGCGGCGTTCCGCCTGCAACGCCCGCGCTGGGGCCGCCGGCCCGCATCGGCGCGGCACGCCCCTGCCATTCAGAGTTCTCGGCCCTCCTCTTCCTCCTCCTCCTCCTGCTCCTCCTCCTCCTCCTCCTCCCCCTCCTCTTCCTCCTCCTCCTCCTCCTCCTCCTCCTCCTCCTCCTCCTCCTCCTCCTCCTCCTCCTCCTCCTCCTCCTCCCCCTCCTCCCCCTCCTTGAGGAGGCCGCGCCTGCGACCGCGCCGCCCCCGCCGCTCAGCAGCGCCGCCCCGTGCAGCCCCGCCAGGAGGGCCGAGGCCGAGGTCAGCGCGGCGAGTGCGCCATACCTCAGCAGCCGCTCCGCCTGGGCCGGCGCCCGTCGTCGTCGACGTCCATTGGAGGGTCGGGCGAGGGAGGCGGGGGGGGGGCCAGCCAAGAAGGGAGCAGCGAAGCAGCTCCCGCAGCCGAGTCGCCCGGCGCCGCGGGCGCCGACGTCGTCGCGGAAGGCGGGCCTGGCGGCGGGGCCGAAACCAGCTGCGCGCAGCAGAGTTCGAAGCCTGCTCACTCGTCTTGCACGTCTTTCGCATCATGCATGCAGGTCGCACTGCTCTCATTTTCCATATCGTGCCCCGCCCGTTCACGGGCCAACCTTTTGGTTTGACCGGGCCTCTGCTGCTGCCTGTCCCCATCACATCCTCGCGTCCGTCCTGGACGTCGCGGCCAGCGCAGATCGAGAGACAGGCGTCGAGGCTGCGAGGGCGGCGCCCCGGGGACCGAGCCCCAGCTCGGACAACTCGACGGGCGGTGGGCAGGGGCAGGTTTGCCCCCCCCCCCCCTCCCCCCTGGGGCCCGAGCGTGACCAGATCCTCCACCGCCTGCCGAGGTCCACGAAAAGCGATCCTCCTCGCGGTGGTGGTGGGTTTCTTGTGGATCGTTTCCTGTGGTCGAGCTCCTGCTGCATTCTCACCCGAATTGATCCGCGTCCTGGCTTCGTCTTAGGGGGGGGGGATACATGGAGGGGCCCTGGGACACACAAATAAATAGACACAAGTAACAGGATTCACCCAATTTCCCAATATTTTCTGGTTGTTGTATCTTCCTCCCACTTCCCATACTTTCCCATATTTACTGGGGGGATCGACGATCAATAGTGTCTGTGTTTTTTCCCTCCGACCCGCTCGGATTAAAGACATGAAGTGCTAGCCCCGTAGGGAGAGGGCTCCCGCCTGAGACTTCCCACAGACGAGCCTCCCGCCTGATACTTCCCCCAGAATCAAGCTAGCGAATGAGTGGGTGAGTCAGTGAGTGAGTGAATGATTGATTGCGTGATAATGATGATGAAGATGATGCAGGTGATGAGTGAGCGGGTGAGTGTGTGATCGAGTGATGGTCAAGGTGATCAAGATGGTTTGTGTGTGAGTGAATGTGAGTGTGAGCGAGTGTGTGCTCCTGCGTGTTCCTGCGCGGGGTGTCCAGAGAAACCAAGAACCCCACTTCGGATGTGGGGAAACAGGATCCAACACTACTCCAGGGATGATCAAAAATGGGCAAAGGATCGTCCCCAGAGTATGATCTTGGACTGTGTTGGAAGACCCCCCCTGTAGAGGGACAGGCCCGACTTACCTCCAAGAGGGCGGAGGAGGAGGAGGAGGAGGAGGAGGAAGGAGGAGGAGGAGGGAGGGAGGAGGGAGGAGGAGGAGGAGGGAGGAGGAGGAGGGAGGAGGAGAGGGAGGGAGGAGGGAGGAGGGAGGAGGGAGGAGGGAGGAGGGAGGAGGGAGGAGGAGGAGGAGGAGGAGGAGGAGGAGGAGGCCACCCTCGCGGGAGACCCCCCGGCGAAGGAGCGCACGGGTGCCCCCCTGGGCAACGGCGAGCCGCGGCCGCGGAGAGGCTCCCCGACCCCCAGGGGCCACGGCACGGAGGGCGGAGAGGCGCCGCCGTCGTGAGGAGCATCCCGAAGAAGGCACGAAGGTAGGATGAAGTCGGGCGTGTCCCCCTACAGGGGGATTTTCGACGAAAGCTAAGAAACACTCAAAAAATACTCCCGAGGACTCAACAAGACGGATCGAGAAGGATCGAGACTCAACAAGACTCCCTATGGTCAAACAGTACTCAACAAGAAGGATCGAAGAGGAGCATCCCGAAGAAGGAACGAAGGTAGGATTACGTTTGGCGTGTCCCCCTACAGGGCGATTTTCGACGGAAAATACAACATACTCAAAGAGTACTCCGAAGTGGTCAAACAAAAATTCAACAAATCGTCCCCAGACTATTTTTTTGTCACTATTTTGGAGCGTTCCCCCTGTAGAAGGGACAGGCCCCACTTAAAGGCAGAAGGAGAAAAAAATATGCATAAGCATAGACTTTTGGCGCTCCGCGCGGCTTCCTTGGACCTTCGCTGGGCCCCGCCCCCCCCGGCGGCGCCCCCGGCGACGCCTCATGGCGCGCTCCGGGCGCCAGGGAGGAGGAGGCCCGCCATGGCCAGGAGAACCCCCTCGCGAAGAAGAACATTACACCAAAGAAGAGCCCCAATCCCAGACCCCCTCGAGTCATGAGAAAATTATACGTCGCAACACTATGCTGCGTGCGCTCCCGCACGGACGTTGGGCACGACAAACACGTGCCGCTGGCTGGCGCCAACCTGAGAGAGAGAGCCTCAGGACGCCCAGCCAGCGGAGCGCAACCCAGGGAGGGCGGGCGGGGAAAGAAAACACCCACGCCACGAGGCCCACCCCGCGGTGCCAGCAGACACCCACGGGCAGGACGAGGACGTCCCAGGGAGACGACGGACAGACAGACCGACAGACAGACGACAGACCGACAGACACACAGACGGGACGGACGGACAGACAGACCCACACCCGCCGTCCACAGGACACGGCGCGTTAGCTGACCCACCAGGGCGGGTGAAGTCCGCCACCCCCAGTTGGAGGTATCCAAGCTTCGTGCGTTCTGCTGGGAGCTCAAGGCCATTAGGCTAGGAGGAGTGTGGCACCGCTAGCTCCTGAAATTTTCCTGCCCTCCAAACCGCTGCGCGATTTGAGGGCTAAGAAAATTATACGTCGCAGCACTATGCTGCGTGCGCTCCCGCACGGACGTTGGGCACGACAAACACGTGCAGCTGGCTGGCGCCAACCTGAGAGAGAGAGCCTCAGGACGCCCAATGCACGCAGGTGGGGCCGGGCAGCTGCGCGAAGCGAAATGCTTTTGCAACAGCAGGAACACCCAATGCACGCAAGAGTTTTTCACTCGCCTGCCCCGGACGACTCTGAGTGCTCAACCAGAAACTCGGCCTCAGCTACCGAGCCCCGCGCTTTGGCGGAAGTATACGCAAACGCAGTAAGCCCTCGCCAACCGCCTGAGTAGAACAGTGCTGTTGGACCGTTAGCACGAAGGCACTCCGTGGCCCAACCTCTACGAAAGGCATGCGTGCCCCACGCCACCGCATCAGCGAAGCCGCAGCCTTGAGCAGCGAGCTTAAGCACAGCAAGGCTCATCGCGTATGTCATGCCTGGGAAAATGACATTATTCCCAGCTTCAGCCTGCGGCGCCGTGTCTGTAGACGCAGAAGCCGCGGCACCACTCGCGAGCTTGGCCCGGAGCTTGTACCGGGCGACCACCCGGTATACACCACACAGTGCTTTCCCTTGGAGATCACAAATGCACCTGCGAGTGACAACAACAGGTTCAGAATAGCACTTTCTATTCATGAATGTGATGTCCACGACATTCCGCCCTTCCACAGTCACACTGATCGACACGGGAGCTGTGTCGGAGCCCAGCTGCAAGACTTCGCCGTAGCGCAAACAGAACTGCCGCGCCACTACGAAAGACTCACCGATGTCAATGAAGCCGTTCCCGGAACACCACCGTGACAATTCTTTTGTCTGCTCTGCAGAGGCACGGATCTTCGGCCGCCGCAGCGCCCGCCCTGCCTTCTCAGCTCCCCGCGCAACACGCGCTGTGTCCGCAAGGGGGCCCACAGAACAGTGCAACCAGACTAAGACAGTGCGAATGTGCGACAAATATCTTGACAAAGTAGCCGCACTCCTGAAGAGACAAACGTATGCACCCGATATACCCTGTGTTGGTGGCCATGGCGGGACTCTGCAGAAGAGAACGACTTGGCCATAGAGTCTCAGTGCCGAGGCATAACCTGCAGCGCTGGCCTTCCATCCGCAAAATTCCAACCACATTGCCTGCTCCGCCATCGCTGTTGGGGCAGTGCCATCGCGCGAGATACGTGCGATCTCCTGCCGCGGTGCTCCGGGGGGACTGTGCAATGCCAGGGCGTCTGCTTGTGCCATGGCAGCAATAGCGTCGGCAAGGACGTGCGGCGCAGGGAGCCGGCCAGACGTCCGCGCCGCAGTGCATAGCCGCAACGCCGCCCTCGCCACAGCTTGTTCCTCGGGCGTGGAACCTGCCTTTCGCCGCGCCATGGCCGGAAGCAGAGCTGCCAAGCGCACCTGTGGCGACTGCGGACACTGTGCAGGCGAAGCGATTTCCTTTGCCACACTTTGACCACAGGATTTACATAAATCCAAGAAGGAGCTGACGACAGCAAGAGACACTCTCGAGAACGCGCCCCACACCTCAACAGCTTCCTCGGGCGTGATGCCCAAGAAATCAGATGGCGCCACGGCCCCTTCCTGCCGGAGATTTGCCTCTACCGTGCGTACATCCACCGGGACATCCGCGATGCCCGCCGCGCGCCTGAGCAGCTGCGCCAAGACAGTCTCGGGTGTATCTTGCGGAGCCGGTTCGGGCAGTCTCGGCCGCACTTGCCGGGCAGCATCGCCGCCGGCCAAGGCAGCCCGCTCCCGACTGCCGGCAATGAACTCAAGCATTGAGCCAAACCGGCTACTGATGACGAGAGTCCAAACGCAAACATTGCTACAAACCCGCATCCAGCCACTCTTGGCCGCAATGGCCTCAGATGATGCATTTTTTTCAACAGCACTACGGTGACCAAGGCAGTGCGGGCGGCCATGCCCACTCGAGCTGACGGAATCCGCGGGACTGAAAAGCCAAGACAGAATCGTCCCAAGTTTCTTGCCGAGTCGGGCCGTCAGCAATATTTAACTTGCTAGGCACTCGGAAAGCGTGCAAAAGCATGCGCGCGCTGGCTACTTCAAACCAGAAACCGGTGATCACATCATTTAAGTCACTTTGCCGGCTCGCTCCGCGAACCAGCGCATGCAAGGCTGGATTGCAATCGACGAACATGACTATCTCACACTCAGCGAGCCCATGCTCGATCAGACAGCGCACAGCACAAATTGCAGCAACGAGTTCCCAAAGCACTATCTGCGTCCGGCGCGCGCGCGCCCACGCCCGCGCCTCCTGGGGCACCCTGGTGGCGCCCCA